AATTTTGGCCAAAATTTAACTTCGATCAATATATTTGATAAACGTGCTCAGATGAGAATTTCGTCTGTGCAGTTAGATGTTGAAGGTCATTTTTTATGTAATAAGATAGAGGGTTCGGGTTTTGAGGCTTCCATTTTTAGTTTGTGTAGTTAGGCATTTTAACTTTTAAGTTTTGGCTAAAATTTCACTTTAGTCAATATTTTTGGTAATCGTGCTCGAATTGAAATTTTGTCACCGCAGTTAGCCATATAAGTTCAGTTTTGGTCTCATAGGATAATTGGTTCGGGTTTTGAGACTTTTATTTTCAGTCTGTGTCGTTAAGCGTTTTAACTTTTAACTTTTGGCTAAAATTTGAATTAGGTTAATTTTTTGGGAAACATGCTCAAATTGAAATTTCGTCAGCGCGGTAAGCTCTGGAATGTCATTTTTTGTCTTATAGTATAGTTGGTTTGGATTTTGAGGTTTTCATATTCAGTTTGTACCGTTAGGCGTTTTGACTTTTAACTTTTGGCCAAAATTTGACTTTGCTTAACATTTTTTATAAACGTGCTCTGATGAGAATTCGGTTAGCACGATTAGCTTCGAAAGGTCATTTTTATATCTAATAGGATGGTTGGTTCAGGTTTTGTCGCTTCCATTTTCAGTTTGTGCTGTTAGGCATTTTAACTTTTAAGTTTTGGCCAAAATTTAGATTTGGTCAATATTTTTGGTAAACGTGTTCAAATTAAAATTTTTGATGTAATTATATGTGTCATATTGAAATTAATTTAACTTGTTATCGTAGATTTTGCATTGTTTCATTCAATTATGATTTATAAAATTGATATTAATATTTTTGGATTTGTGTTCGTGCTCTTAGATTTTTAAATGCAGTAAATTAATAAATATTTTACTATTGGATAATCATTCAGTTAATAATATTTTGAACATATTTTCAATCAATTACTAACCTAACATTGAACTTGAATGATACATTACCAACAAACTAACTATCAATTAGTAAATTGATTAGAAAAACAAATAATCATACTAACGTATTTAAAATTTATTACTAACAAGGGTTGTGGTGGAGTGGTAAATACTCCTTCATCCTTAACCAAGAGGTCTCGGGTTCGATTCCCCTTGGGTACGGAGTCTCCTTTGTTATGGAGCGTAGAGGTCTCGGGTTCGATTCCCCTTGGATACGGAGTCGCCTTTGTTAGGGAGTACTTTACCCCCCAATGTGGGACTTCCCGGCGTGAATCCGGATTTAATCGGGCTCCAATGTGGGTACCGGACCGGATGGGAAACCAAAAAAAAAAGTACTTAAAATTTATTGGTAAATTACCAACATAAATTTTATGTTACTAAAATTGCCAACCAATTACCAATGTATCTGGAAAAGTTTACTATCAGACATTTGTTACTATAATTACCAACGTATTACCAACGGAATCGAATAATGAAGAAAAAAGTTACCAACTCCTTTTCAATTCGTTAGTAAAGGTACTAACGATATACTAACCAAAAATTAGTTGGTGAATTTACCAATGGAAATTTTCAGGCCATGTTTCAAAATTTTGTAACAACATCTTTGGGTGTTTACCAACTACTTTTTGGTTGGTAAGTTTACCAACAAATTAAAATCGATTGGTAATATTTACCGACGAGCCTTTTAGCAACGGATTAATATAAGTTGGCATTTGGTTGGTAACTCAATTTGCCAACCAATTTGATCAATTTACCAACGAATTTTTTTGTTGGTAATTGGAGTTCCTTTTGTAGTGTTAGTTCTTTAATAGTTTTATTCTGCATTTACAGTCCTCTGACAGAGTTATTATTTAGTACTATGAGTCAGCTAGCATCCAAGAGAGGTCACTATCCTTGGACGGCTATATATTGTACTGAAAGGTTCTCTTTCCTTTCTTATGAATGAAATTATCTAGTGTTATCTTAGCTAGCTTCTTTTCCTATTTTTCCTTTTCTAGTTAATTATTATCTTCGTTATCACTATTCCATTGGGATTTTCATTTGCAAAAGCTCATTTTGCAACACTTGTATCTAGCCAAATCTATCAAGAACAAAGAAAAAGGCCAAAAGGGTGTTTGAAAATGACAATCTTGGATATGAAAAGGGACTAAAGAAGCAAAATTAACTTGCAAGATTTGATCTTTTTTGTGTTTTCTTCAAGTTTTCACATTTGTATATAGCAAAAATCTATCAAGAACAAATAAAAGGGGCAAAAGGGAGCGAGCGTTAGGTTGCCTGATAGTAGTGTAAAGGTGCACAAAGCTTATAAGAGTTTAGAAATGACGTACATATTATCCTTTGATCTAACTTGCGAGATTATAATGTTGTTATAACATTTGGTATCTAATGAAGTGAAATGCTATCAGGTTTTTGTTTTTCTAAAAATTAAAAAGTGCAAACCATTTTAGACAATCCAATTAAGCTCAATGCTTTCAAAAATTCACAGATTTTCTTGTTTTTTGTTTTGATCAATGAAACCAAGTTTCAATAAACAAACCCGAGACATGGTTTTAACTTTAAAATGATAGGAATTTCACATCATTCTAAAACAAAATGGTTGTGCCAAAATTACAAAGGAGAAACCGCTAATGTATAGTTTCACGTCAAATAGATGAGGTCAGTGATGGGGGTACTCAAACACAACATCTTTGCCTGAAAGCTTTCTGTTAACTGTTGAAAAGGTCTCCAACTTATACTTGGGGCCAACGTGATACTTCCCAACAATCTCTGCTGGAACAACCAAGTCCTCCAATATGGCATCATGAACAGATGAAAGAGTTCTGCTGCGGGGTCGTTGCGCACCAAAAGAACCTCTCAATATTTTTGGAGAGTTCGAGCCATAGGTTGTACCCATAATTACACAACACATCCAAAAGATACGACTCCATATCACATCTGTAGGTGTCTGGCAATTTCATGTTTTGTCTCAAAACTCCTCAAGCCACCAAAAGATGTGAAAAGGCACCGCAACCAACACAATCATCATTAGGAATTCTGTAAAAGATTTAAAAGTAAATCAATGGACATCAACGAAACAATTAACATAAAACATAGGGAAAAACCAATTTCGAGAAGGTGGTGGAGTATGAAAAGCATATGACACACACAACCAAAACAGAGGTCGTATGTCACGTGTTTATGAATCCCATATCCCATTTGATTGATTTGTGAATAAACATATCTCAGTCTTGCCAAATGAACCCACCTAGCTCTCCCTAACTTATCCTCTATGTCGCCAGAGAAAAGGAAACGAAACATTATACAAAGATAACTATTTGCACAATAGAATCTGACAAGCATCAAATCATTCGTTTCAATATGGGGCTTGGTCTGCAAAGAGCATGTTTTTTCAATTTCAATCACCCCCCTATAGATGATCTGGCCCCTTGTTTTTCCTTATCAATAGAAGGTTCTCTTACGGATTACTTATCGCAAAAATAAAAATAAACCCCACGTACACTTATTAGGTTCCAGGACCTTTCCCTTCAAAGCAAGAAGTTCATTGACATTACCTTTGGAAAATGGTGCAAAGGATTTCCCACAGCCTTGCTTCACAATGTCAGCATCATCCGAGAGAACTAGGTGGAATTCAGAATCGGTACCCCAGAAGAAGGGCACACTGCCATCAACATCCTATAACACCAAAACTCATACATTTAATCCAACACCGAGAATATCAAAGATAAGTCAAGATCAAGATAAAATGATAAAGAAAACTTACAGCTAGAAAGGTACTCTTCGAAGCACTATCATAAAGAACGAATGCAAACTTTCCATGAATATCTTTCACAACTTGATCTGGAGGATAAGGACCTCTATACCTCAAAGTCCTGTAAGCATCAATAACAATGATCACTTCATTTGCAGTCTTGTTTAACCCATACTGTTGCCTAAGATGTGCTACATTCTCGATGTGGCCTTGAAACATGCAAGGAATGTCATCCACAACAGCAAGCAAACAACCTGGGAAGAAGAGGGTTTTCGTGTTCAGATGAATAAGCCAAGAATCCAGAAGAACCAGGTTCAGATGAGATTGGAGATCGGAGATAACGACATCAGGTTGAAACATCATAAGAATCTATAATAGATTCAGATTACAAACATCTGCTACAAATTTAAAATAATTCCCCAAAAAATCAAAGGTAACAACCTTTTATGGATAATTTCACATGAATAAAAGTGATCATGAAACCCATGAGGAGCTTAGCAGCTAAGGGGAGATAGAAGTTCGGATAAAAGAATCCCAAGTCCGACGATTAGGAGTCTGAGACAGAAAAAAAAATTCCGATGGTTATGGAGTGTGAGAGAGAGAAAAAAATTACAGTAATAAATATTAAGAGATCTCAAATATTAAAAAGAAATAGATTAGAGGTTTAACTGAGTTTGGCTATTACCGTTAAACTTACCTAATTGTGTAAAAAAACTTTACACAGTCAGTGCACACAAGTTAATCTCTTAAAATTTAAAGAAGAAATCATACTAAGAAGTCAAGGGTTCAACCTCTACAATATAAATAAGATATAAGTTTGACCATATATAATGTAATTTTTCGACAAAGGGAATTCGGATAAACCCCTTTCGGTACCCTAGCACCGCCCCTCTAGTGTCTCCTAAATAAACTAGATATTGTTCAACCCAATATAAAAAGAAAACTCTACACAAATTCAAGTTGAATTCAACATTAATCAAACAACAAAAAAATTATGCTTGTATATATTTGGCAAACAATTAAGTCTATGATGAACACCCAAATACTGACAAACAATACTAGTTATGATAAAAAGTGATTAATCAAATCCAGAAGGAGATCATTGAACAACAAAAGAATATTGATTCAACAATTAGTGGTTATTATAGATTTAGAGACCTGATAGAAACTTACCTTGATGAGATGAAACTATTAAAATTCATCATTTTTTTCAATCGGAGGTGACAAGCAGAGTTGTTGTTTTAGAGCAGTTATCTTTATCCTTCAAATTGAATAAGAATTAAGTTTGCAAAACAGAGAGGATTAATGGGGACGTGTCCAAGACTTGATGTCCATATCAGCACTCTGATCTGACAAACCACCAGCATTTCAAGAAATCTTGGTATGCTTGAGATAGTGACTTCTTTCTGAAATATAATGAGCTACTGAATCATTTGCCTTTCGATGTCTATACTTTCCTATTGTAGCCTTGTCAGAACAGTAATATGTCCTAAAAACACACAATGATTTCCTCTTTACTATTCAAAATTCAAGTCCTCTGAAGCTGAGGCAACTTATGGCCACGCTCGACAAAGCGCAACATGAGCTTGTCAGCCTCTTCTACTCTGCCACCTTGCATCAATCTATCCCTCACCTTGTCACAGACCTTTAAGTCAGGAATAAGGTTCCGGTTGAACATTCGACACGCCACCTTATATGATGAAAGAGGATTCCCTTCCTTTAAATAGCTCTCTATAAGAATGTGGCAGGTATTTGAATCAACTCTTGAAGCTGTCCTGAGGACCTTTCCCAATAGCTTATAAGCCTCATCAGTATATCCTAAACCACAAAGTTTTTCAATAACCTGATTATAGGCAGTCTTGCACCCCTCTCTTGAAAGCATCTTTTCCAGTAATACCAACAGATCATCCACCCTATGTTGCTGACAAAATCGATGGATGACTGTACGATATGTCACAGCAGTGGGAAGCACCCCTCTATGAAGCATTTTATTGGACAGCCCAATAGCTTCCTCTATCCTTCCTTGTTTTCCTAATCCATCTATTAACGTTGTATATGTGACAATATCAGGGTGTTTATTGATTAAATACATGTCATCAAGGACAGAGAGAGCAGCATCCAACTCATTCTTTAGACAGAAACCATGAATTACAGTGGTGAAATTCACAACATTAACAGCACATCCTTTCTTCAGACATTCTACCATAAACCTCTTTGCTTCATCTGCTCTGCCCTCTTGGCAAAGAGATTTAATGATCAGGTTAATTTCAACGGGAGAAAGGAAAAAACCCTTTCCAATCATTTCCCTACCCACCTCACAGGCTTCAGACAGTTTTCCTTCCCTACGATAACCATGCATTACCACACTAAATGTAATAGCATTCGGTCTCCACCACCATTCTTCACACGTGTTCATAATCTCCTGTGCCTCAGCAGACCTTCCACTCTGGCAAAGCCCGTTTAACAGGGCAGTGTATGTTACAGTATTTGGCTTGCAACCATATTTGTACATATGTTGAAGTAACTTTTTTGCTTGATCAATTCTCCCTGCAAGGCAAAACCCATTCAGTACTGCAGTGTAAGTAACCACATCAGGAGGACATCCTTTGGCAATCATTTCATTGACCAGTTCCTTTGCCTTATCTAAACTTCCTTCTTTACAGAAGGAGTTCACTACAGCACTATAGCCCACTTTATCCACTCGGAATCCTCTTTCTTCAGCTTCCCTTAAGAATCCTAAGGCTTCATCAGCATGACCATACTTTGAAAGCATATGTATAATAGTGTTATAAGTAACCTGGTCAGGCAATAAGTTACTATCTTTAGCCATTTTCTCCACCAACTCCCTCACTTCATCAGTTTGTTTCTTCGTGCAAAAGAATGCAATCAAAGTATAATAACTAACTTTATCTGGGTAACAGCCCTTATACGGCATTTCAGCAATCAACTCTAACGCATCTTCAACGCGATGCACATCACAATAACCTTTGATTAAGCAATTGTATGTAACAACATTTGGTGTTATCCCAACTAGTTGCATCCGCTCTAGAAACCTCAATGCTTTCTCAGTTTTATCACCCTTCACCAAAACATAAATTGCAGTGTTGCATATAGACAAATCAGGCTCAATTCCTGCTCTTTGCATCACATTCAGGATCTGCATTGCTTTCCTTAAATGTCCAGCTCGACTAAAAGCAACCATCACACAACCAAAATCTTCAGGTCTCTGTGGAATTCTTCTTCGTGCCATCAGTTTAAGAATGCGCTTAGCTCCCTGGCACAACTTTGTCCTGCTTAGAAGTTGAAGCATCACATAGTAAATGATAGGGTCATGTCGGTACCGCCACTGCTGGTCTGCCCAATAAAAGAATTTCAAAGCAATTCTTTCATCTGATTGAGACGTTAACACAGCACAAACTTGGTGAGGCTTCATACTTCTTAGCAAACGCCTCAATTCTATTTCAAGCTGTGGATTCCAAGCTGACAGACGTTCAATTAATCTACATGTTTCCTTAACCAAATGATGTCCCATTTCCTCTTCAATTCTTCCAGAAATGCCAACATTTTCTGCCCTGTTGACTTGTTTTTTACTTTTACCAAATGAATCCAAAACCTTAAAATCATCATCAGTACAGACCAAATCACCTCCTCCATCTTCATTCTCTGAATCTTCAAACTCATGGACATGGTCAAACCTACAACTACTAGCATTATGTATATAGCTGCAATTTTTTCCATCATCAGTAAAACAAGTATCAGAAAGGCTCAAAACTTTACATTCCTTAATACCCAATTCTTCTTTTACAACATACCCATCTCCAGAATTACCATTTTGCAAGTATAATTTAGGGTTCGGATTAAATCTAGGGCTATCACTTGTAGAAAATAATGCAATGATTACTCCATTATAAGTAAATGGGTTTCCACGAAAATGGATTCCCGATAGAGAAGCCCCAAATTTTGCAGCATAAAGACGATTATACCATGAACCAAACCATAGAATGTTGCAAAGCTTTCTATGGCTAGGCAAGGTAGCGCATATATTCGATTTCAACAACATCTAGTCAGAATCTAATGCATTTCTTGTACACAACAACAAAGTTCAGACGAGTTCCAATAGCTTACCTGGGATGACAGCACTTCTCTTTACTGGGGAAAGTGAAGCCTCATTCATTCGCCCTATTTAATTGACCTTTCAAGTAAAAAATATGTGTATTAAAAAAAAGTTTAAAAAATGAATACACATAACTAAATAAGTTGATTCGATTTTTAATGTATTATAAAAATAAAATCACAAAATTTAACACATAAAAATTTTATGATTAATTTTTAAAATTATATTTTAATATACTTAGTTATGAATATATCTCCATGTATTAATTTCATATAGAAAGAGGTGTAATCATTTGATTTGAAAATGCAACGAGTATATTTGAAATTAAAGCATATTATCAGAGTATTCAATTTAATTAACTCTCAATTTTATTATTCTCTATATAATATGTGAGGTTTATTATCTATCAATTTTTCATAGTTAATATGAATCTATTTATCGATGCATTTCATATAAAAGATTTACATAAAAATATAGTAAGCGAGTTAATAATTCAAAAAAATAATAATTATGTTGTCATTCGAGGTTGGATATATTGAGACTTAATTATCGGTAGTGTAACGTTTTTAGATTACTTTCTGAAAAATCATATTTGGCGAGTGTAACATAACATTTATCTTTTAATATAAATGCAACCGAAGAATCTTAAATATCAATAGATGTGATCTATGCAAAAGTCATACAAACCTAAATTGTATATTTGAAAAAGGAACAAGAATGATTGAAAAATGAAATATTTAAAGAAGTTTTATCATATCAATATGACAAAGAAAATAAGACATGCTGATGTATTTTATTAATATTTTTCAGTTACTTTAACACATAATTCTTAGATACTCAAGAAAAAAGGTACACCGAAGTATATGTTGTAATATAAATATTCAAATTGGTTGATATTTCAATAAAATGTACTAGGTGACATCAAAATCTATTGTTAAATGCATGTTTAGTGCAATATAAACGAAACAAAAAAATTACTAAGAAAATATATCTTGACGTATTGATGAAGAATGTACTATCCCCCATTTAATAGATTATAGATGCTAAATCTATTAAGTTTCATTCCAATCGCCATTTCAAAACGATCTTCATAATTAATATACAATTAAAAAACAGAGTGATAATATTACGTTTGGGCAATAGAGAGAACATATATAATTAATTGAAGAAAGAGTAATTCTTTAACAATTATTTCAAAGATCGCGTGAAGCGTAGTCAAATTCCCTAGTATTAGAGAAAGAGCAGATTTGTCAAATTGTATTTTATTTCTAATACTAAAAAATAGGTAAAAGAGATTGTTAAAAAAGTCAAAATAATTAAAAAAGATAAACTTAATATCGCAACCACAAAAAAGATCAGTATGATAGAGCAATATCTAAGAGGAGGTCTATGAAATTATTTCTATAAAATATCTAGGTAAAATTTTCATTAAAAATTATAGAAAATAAAATTGAATTGTGTGAGAAAATACCAACGGAAAAAATAAAAGAAGAAACAATGGATCAACCGACGAACCCACCCGCTATATTTCCTTCTATTGGTCCCTCAGGTCTCCATTTCGAATAAATACCGGCACGTTCTCCTCATTCGAATTACACGACGCACATCTCCTCTCCGATCGAAATGGCCGCCGTCGAGAACGGCAGCGCGCAGCCGCAATCAGCGTTGATCTTCCTCGGCACCGGTTGTTCCAGTGCCGTTCCCAATGCATTGTGCCTGATCCGCCCCTCTGATCCTCCATGTACCGTCTGTTCTCAGTCGCTTACCATGCCACCTGTAGAAAACCCTAATTACAGGTCATTTCTCCATTATCTGCCTTCTAATTTTACTGCATTGTGATTGTTTTTTGAATAGTTGCTAACTTTAATTTGCTTTCCAGGCGAGTGATATGTGTGTGTAATTTGTATGTTCTGATTTAGGTTAGTCGAATCTAGCAATGTGTTTGATTAGTAATTGTTACATTTTCAGTATTGAGAACTGTTTAATTGCAGCTTATCGAATTATGGAGTAGTGGCTTATGATAAACCAATGCGAATTGATTACTGGTGAGAGCAGGTACAGATTGATTGATTGATTATTGGGAACTGAGAAGAAGCTCAGGAAGCAAGTACATATTCATGCTTTTCATTGTACATTTAATTATTACAGTGGAAGTCTTTTGATGATTGTTTATGCATAACTCTGTGAGATCTCATATAAAAGTTCAAGTTGTTAGATAGATACATTTATTTACTTATAATTCTTGTGTTTATTTGTATTATTGTTGATTGGTTGTGGTGAGATTTGAATCTAGAACCTCGATTTGATGTGGTACCATATTGAATTATGTGACCGTCTCATTATACAAATCTTACTAGAACTGTTCCTTTTTTATCAGTACTGTTACTGTAAAGAAAAGAAGAATAGGATGAATTGGACAAAGATACAAGTCTAAGCTGTTAGAGAAAGGAAATGCATAATTCTTATACTAGGTCTGCAACATGTTAGACAAGTATCAGCTATATACAGCAACATTTATGCACTCTGAGAATTGTTTAATTGAGCTTAAAGTTATGAGGTAGTGACTGGTAGTAACAGTTGTCTAATGGCCTGCAGGTGTAATACATCTCTTCTTATTGATTATTGTCAGGACAATGGTGAGCACAAGTACATATTAATTGATGTTGGGAAGACGTTTAGGGAGCAAGTACTTCGGTGGTTCACTCGTTATAGAATTCCTCACGTTGATTCTGTGAGTTCATTTTATGTTTATTGACTTACTTTCTCCAGTTGCATTACTAGTAGATTGAGGTTGTGTAACACAGTTAATGAGAAAATTTGTCAAATGTGCATTAAAAGTTAATTTGAGGAATAACTTGAACAATCTGGTTTGTGTATAAAACTTAGATTTACATGCTACAAGGTAATTACAACAACATACCCAGTGAAATCCCACAAGTGGGGTCTGAGGAGGGTAGGATGTGTGAAACAAATGCAACCACGCAAATTAAAAGTTCATTCATGTGTTGGTACTCTTATTGCCAAGCTTAACTTACCTATACAATACGGTTATACCTATGGATCCTTTGAAAGTTATAACATTAAGATATTTCTAGGTATATGATTTTTGTTTGTTCTTTTTTCCTTGATTATACTTTCTCTTCCCTTCTGCTACACATGTTTCTATTACATGCCTTAGCATTGATTTGCTTCTTTTAGTCTGTCATAATTTACATGGTTATCTGTAACTAAGAAACAAGATTGCATGTAAATGATATGGATAAATGAATAAAGGATTATATGTTTTTTTAGGATCCTTTAGAAATGGTAAACCATTTTTTGCATGCGAAACATGTTTATCTTTGTATTACTTCTCACTCATCCTTCATTTGATATGTTAATATGCTTGTAATATTTTGCGACTTGGAGGCATCACATTTTCCTAGCTCTGCTTCTTTCCATCTGTCTTCAGATTTTCGTTTGATCTGCGTGTCATCTGTCTTCAATTATTGATAAAGATATAACATTGCCTTCAAACAAGGGAAATGTCGCTGAGATATTTCTTTATTTTGCCTTGAATATTCCCCAAATACTTTAAGATTGGAACAAGCACAAGAATGCCCTTGCACTAATAATTTCTATATGACCTCACTTGAAAGTCAATCTTTAAATATCCTCTAGTTTCTTTACTGTCCAGAATAACCTAATGGGTCAAAAGTTGACTTCATTACCCTTTTTTTACATTAATATCCAAAAGCCACATTACATTTGCACCATAAGTGCACTATATTTAGTTTCCCATCATGGCAAGTTCATATCCTAAGGCAAGGAGATGTTCTATGTGTTTTTTGGTACTTAACTGTAAAACAATTTCCCCATTATTTCCCTAGACTATTCTAGGCAGAGTTTCTTTTATTTTAATAATGCTTGTGTTAGGGTAAGGTCTGTCTACACTCTTCCTTTCCCCAACTCCACTTGTGGGATCACACTGGGTATCTTGTTGTTTGTTGTGTTAGCATTTAGCAGAATATGCAGCTTATAATGAGTTTCCCAAGTTCCAAATTGCTAAGTATATCACTTTTACCTTGCTTAAAGAAAAGGCATCGATCATCATAATTCATATGTAACTTGATGACAGTATAGATACTTCAGGTCTTAGCACAAAACCTGTGTTTTGGGAGAAATTCATAGTATGTTGCTCTTTCGCTTGGGAATTGTAACTCAACTAACTTTCTAATAGTAAAGGAGCTTCAACATTGCCAAGCTAGGGGTGCAAATAAGCTGAGATAGCAAGCTGATAGAAATTTTCGAACAAAACTCACTTTGTGATATGACAAGTATGGTGTTTCATCAGTCTGAAGCAAACAATTCATGAGGATTTGGGAAACCTTAGAGGTGGTATTTGGGGCCCTATTTATCTGGTTTAAGCATTCTAGGTATTTATTGAATTATGAGACCTCAAAAATGCTATGTTATCTGGAGCTGAAAAAACATTAGAAGATATAGCTATTTCAGCAGTTGTGGGAAGTGTACCGAATAAGTTGTTTGAGTTTCCTCTAAGCGTTTTGCATCTGGGCTTATTGATAGAGATATTAGAAACTAGGATGACGGTGACATATGCTAAAATGCACATCCACGGGGTTTAAATTGCAGTACATGAAAAAAAAGAGGTAGAAACATCTAGCAGAATTGATAGACATCAAAAGTTTCTGAATTTTGAAGATGATTCCTAAGTGAGGAAATGAACTGTGCTACCACTTAACAGAAGAAATCATCAAAACTATAAGTCAGACATACAACACTAATCTTATTCTCCAGAATTCTTCACCAAGATTAACAGTTTCAAAGGATTCATCATAAATTGGCTGGTAACTGGGAATATGGTTTTAGTGCCCATATGGATTAACTTATGTTTAGGTGCTTTTGACTTTTAAGTAGTTTCTTAGTTTTGTAGGTATTTGGAAAGG